AAAAAAAAAAAAAAAAAAAAAAAAAAAAAAACAGGAGTAAAACCTCATTATGCAGGGAGCAAGGCAACTACAAGCGAAATAAAATTGATGAGCTTCACAAGTAGCATACCAAAAGACTAATAGTAAACGAATGGAAAACGCAACAGCTTATCATCCTGGGTTTTAAGGTGGGTGAGGATTAAAAGCAGCTATCTTATCTTCAGTTTGTTAACGACGCCCTTCTTTTCTGTTTGGTCAGAAAAGTTTCTTTAGCAATCCTAACATTTTTTAGGCTTCTTACAAGCTCTATCACGTCTCAAGATTAACAGGGGTAAAGTTCCAACATAGGCCTAAATCATGACCATGCAAGATTGAGTTTATGGGCTTCCCACGGTGAGTTGTGGAGTGAATCAACTTCCATATTTTAATCTAGAACTTCCCTTCGGTCCTAATGAGAGGTCAGTCTTTCTCGAATCCTATTATGGAAGAGGTTTACAAACGTCAAGATACATGGAAAAGAGCTTCTTCTCCAAGGGGGAGACTTAGTCTTATCCAACCTATCTTAAATGGATTTCTTAATTCCCCTTTTTTTTGGCAAGCTTGTTTCATTGCCCTATTGCGGGGAATTTGACTGGAGAGGAATAGCATAATTTTTAAGGGGGTTTAGAGAACATGGGTGAAGGTTTGGAAGAGTGCTAGGTTTAAAGCATCACTGTGAGCTTGGTTTGATTCTCTTGGATTGAAGTCTATTTTTGTAGTTAGTGTTTAACTCCCTTTTTTGTGCGCTTATATTTTTGCATGTTCTTGTATGTTCTTTCATTTTCATCAACAAAAAACTCAGTTTCTAGCCTACAAAAACACTAACTACAAAAATAAACCAAAATCCATAAGAATGAGACTAGCAAGTAATTATGAAAACACCCAATTAAAAAACACGTACAAAGTAAAGTTAAATCTAACAAATTCCTAAAACTTATTCCCAAATCTCTCAGACCCACTAAATATCCAGTTGTGCCTCTCATTCTAATACCCTAAAGAACGGAAATAATAAAATATAAAAAAATCTAGCACAAAACTCTTCCTTTATTGTGAAAATTAGGATTCAGAAGCACATCGTCAATCATTGAGAAGCAACCTCTATGATGAACCAAAACAAGTGAAGTAGTTTCAGCAGAATCTAGTAGTCATCCTTTCTCATTCTTTTGAACAAATTCACTTCTTAAATATGTAGTTTCGCGGTGTTTTGTTTTACTTGGCTACTTTTGTCTCGACTATCCTTTTTTGATATTACTGTTGTATACTCTTCTTTTTTTATGGTCCGTCAATTTCAAAAAGAAAAATGGTCCCAAAAAACCACCTAGGATAATAACGAAAATTGAAGGGAAAAACGAAGTCAAATCTCACAAACAAGACTAGTTGCATCCAACTTTCTAGGATTACACCGATGAATGCAAAAGTTTTTTGTCGATGATTTGACCCCATTTGATAACCATTTAGTCTTTGAAAATTTAGTCTATAAAAGAGAAAACAATTCATAAAAAGGAAAATGCAACCATTTAACCATAGTGAATCAGATCTGAAATTAATACCAAAGTTCTTTTTTCAATCAGTTCTTAGGCTAGCTTGCACACACCTCAACTATTCATAAAGCACAATTGTTTAACAAACATTTGATTGTCAAGAAAACTTCTTAGATATTAAATCTTAGGGCTGCTAGCCACCATGACAGGAAAATATTCCTACTATGCCCTTTATTATTTATCAACTTTTATTGATCACTGGCCAACCTATGGTGATTGACATTAATACCTAAGTTGACACAATAAGTTTAATTTGTGTCCCCAAACTTACTTGCTAATCATTACGGAATTACTAGTTATAATAAACGGTCAGGTAATTGGTCAGGTGAAGCCTTCAAGGATTTAAAGTCAAGGTAGACAATAATGAAGGTGGTAAGTAGTATTTCTTTCACAGAGAATCTGGTTGACACGGATTGACTTGAAGAGAAGATGCAAGGAAAAAGGCCAGGACAAACAATGAACAAAGAACATGCCATTTCACAAAAATTACTCATCTCTCCAGGTCAATAAAAAGTATAATAAATAAACAATTCTAATCATCAACATCACAGTATGATCTAATCTAATAAAACAAAGAAATTTCACCGTTCCCATCAGTAATACAAAATATTTGCTGTGTGCTTACTATCACAATCAATAAGCAATATCAAGAGCAAGAGCAGTGTTCTAAAATGCGAGGAAACAATATGATGTCTAAAGGCATAAGACGTGTGTATATTGGTCGTGGACCATGGGCTCATGTGGTGCATTTAATTGGAGTGTTGCATGTTTTTGAACTTAATTCGGTGGTGGGTCATCACCATGGGCCAATGCAGATATCGAATGAAATATAAAAATGCATAGACAACTGAAAAGGCATAGAAGTTCAATCAGTTGACTGACAAAAAAACGGAAAAAAGTGGAAGGTTAATGTACACCCCGTTGTGTTATTTTAATATAGAGCTGCTCTTTGATGGCAACACAGCAAGGAGGTGAGTTTTGTGAGTTTTATGGGTAAAGTGAACGAAAATGAGGATGAAACTATTAGATAAGATGATGACTCTATGGACGATCCTATTAGTGATAGTTCTAGTGATATAATGGATGAGCTTTAGATTATTATTAACAAAATCTCAGTGAACTATTGAGTTTTTTTTTTTTTCTTTATTATTATTATTAATTATTATGCTTGTGAATGTTTGCTTAATCCACCACACCTAAATGGTGTGAAAGTTATCTTATTTATAATTAAATAAATTACAAGGATATGGAAATAGTAATAAATGGAAATAACTGGAAAGATAGTAATAAGGCAAATGTTAGATATTTGCCTTATAATAAAATATCAAATATAATATATATGGTAAACTATAATTTATTACTAAATATCCTTAACACCCCACCGCAAGCTAAGCGTCGGATTTAAACGAACGTGAAGCTTGAATCTGAAAAATTCAAAGAGGTTGAAAAACACTTTTCGTGAAGATGTTAACAACCTGGTTCAGAGGAGGCGTAGAGAAACACTTTCTTGGCCATCGAAAACTGCAGAGAGATCGCTGCTCAGCGGCAATGCTGCCTTGGCTTCGGTGAGAATATGTCTAACCCATGAAGAGGGATTGTCGCTTAGCGACGATGCTGACTTGGCTCTGGTGAGAATATGTCTAACCCCAAGAAGTAGAAGGGGAAACCTAGAGCAAGGGACAAAGACAATGTTGAAGCCGGAAGAGTCGCCACATTGGGCGAATGAGCCAATTTTGGCGAGAAGGGCAGCTGGAAGAGTCACCACATTGGGGCGAAGGAGCCAATTTTGGCGAGAAGGGCGGCGGCAACTTGGTTGGCGAAGATGCCAGTGCGGCGCCCAGATTCCAAAGGTAAATCTCTGCAGAAGGTCGATGGGCTTATTGAGATTCTGTATATTTTCGAAGAGGGATGCTGATGAAGATCCTAAGATTAGGGTTTTTGCGAAGGATGAATGATGAAGGGAAAAATTGGGAAGAAATTGAAAGAGGCTATGTTTGGAAAAGGTGAGGTTGTATGTACAGAGTATGGCGAAGGATGATTTGGAGGTCAAAAAGGTGGAGCCGAAGAATAATCAATCGACTCTGCATGTGACAGCCATGACGACTGCCCCTGCGGCATCAAAGACAACAGTGGTGGTGGAGAAGAACAGTAGAAGATTTCAAAAGCCATTGAAAAGAAAGGATCTAGGTTGCTAAACCAAAATGGCTCTGATACCATGTGGATGTTTGCTTAATCCACCACACCTAAATGGTGTGAAAGTTATCTTATTTATAATTAAATAAATTACAAGGATATGGAAATAGTAATAAATGGAAATAACTGGAAAGATAGTAATAAGGCAAATGTTAGATATTTGCCTTATAATAAAATATCAAATATAATATATATGGTAAACTATAATTTATTACTAAATATCCTTAACAATGCTTGTACTTTTAAGGAATAATGTAATGTTAAGAATGTATAAGGTTTTATGTTTTTTAATTTAAAAGGAGCCTTACACCTCACACCGCGTCAAGGCTTACGCCTTGCCTTTTCATGAGAAGATGCCGCGAGGCTGCCTAAAGTCTTTTAAATCATATATCAAGGGGTAAAGCGTTCAAACATACACGATTATTAGTTCTACCAATTAAATCATGATGTCAAAATATACTGGATGAGTACAAAACAAACAAAACAAAAATATTTTGTTAGTCAAACTTGAGAAATAGACCATCGTACCAAAGCAAGCTCACGAATAAGTACAATCATGTTTGTGCGGAACACTGCAAGCACTTCTTGAATGCATAGAAAAGGATTAAGGCTGCACTAGTTGAATCAAATGACGTCAAAGGCATAATAAGTACAATGTTTACAATATTTGTGGAAAATTACTTGTCATTAAAAGTTAGACACGACAATTGCTATCTCCAAGTGGGAAAATGATAACACAATCATGCAAAAAGGTAACAAGCAAGAGTAGCACTCTAAAGTCCAAAAGTTTCAGTACAACGGAAGTAAATGCTCTCAACACATCACTCTTATCCTTATAGAAAAAAATTCTGGATAACAATAGAAATAAATGCCTGCCATATTCATCAAAAAGTACTGAGCAAGAAAAATCCTTAAAAAAAGAGTTAATGAAGTTTCCTTACTGTTTAAAACTAACCATAGAGCTAAAACCTTCAAAAGCTTGGATTATATTTCTGGTGTCATTTCATGTGCAAGCTCAAGAGGTTAAATCTTATATTAACAAGCATTCTCAGGACCAGATCTTTTTAACTCTAGTGGCAAGCATCTCTACCTTGACAGCTTTCAGTCATGTACTCATAAAAAGAATGTGACGATGAACAGTTCAAAACTTTATATTTCGTCACATTTACTATTATTAACACGTTTACATCTAAAGTTTGCCTTATTTTTAGAATAAAAAAAATCGGTGCATTACTAAGAAATAGTCAAAAGGATGCAAGGCAATGAGAATTTCTTTCATTCAGAGACAAGTTAGAACAAAAACAAAAAAAAACTTCACATTTTAAACTCGTTTGTCCACATATAATGAATTAGTAGGTTGTCTCCTATTTGCATAAATTTCATCTCTACATAAGTTAACACTAGAACCTTACACTTCCATCGACTAGAGGTTTAACAAAGTTGATTATGATGATTATCAAATCTTCACTAACTTTACAATACTTTAAAGATGAAAAGGGCGGCCATGGCAGCCTTAAATCTAATGAAAAAAAACATTTGTAATCTCCTAATCTGCTAAACCACATTAGTATTGTCAACTAAAGAACTTCTTTTTTCTTAAACCACTCAGAAACCAACTGATTTGGGAACTTCATCATTTACATGTCAAAAAGAAACCCCAAAGCAAATGCCACAAAATTTCCCAAATCTAAAAACGAAAAGTACCATAATAAACTTTAGAAGCATCAAATAAAGAGCCAATTACTTTCACATGAACTAAAATAGCATCAAAGCTACATCCACTGGTAAAATTAACCCATATATAAGCCCATGTTTTAAGAAAAATAATATGTGGCTTCAACGAACAAGTAAAGAATAAGAATAACTGGGAAAGGAGAATCAAGTAACAAAACGAACAAAAATCACAAGAATGCAATTTTATTAAATAATATGAACTAAAACAAGAGGAAGAAGAGAAAAAACCGAAAGGTCTTGCCTCTTACCCGGGCAGTGGGGGTGGGGGTGATGGTTAATCTGAAGATAAGAGAAAAATAAGCAGGCTGTTGCCTCCCAGCGTCAAACAAGTGCTGAGAAAAAGCAATATTCAAGCCCTAATTAGCTACCACTTAAACAAATAACCAGAGAGAAGAAGATGGTGACGATTTTGGAAAAGAGGACAGAAGAACAAAAATCCAGGAATATCTTATTATCGAATAAATCAGAGACCTGAATGAGGAAATTTTCCGGTTTGGAAGCTCCATATCTGGGACTCGAAAACATCAGGCCCTTCAGGCATCCAAAACGAGGGACTGTTGCCATATTCAGCACTCAAGTCGATTCAGTCTCACACCCTTCTACAAGTAACAGCCCACAACGGAAAGAAATTTTTCGTTTTAGGAAAGTAAATACCAAAACAAAATCTGCAGAACTCTTCGTCAACAAAAAATAATGCTTACAAAAAATATATCCCATGTTCCAATATTCTCAGGAACAAAAGAAATATTTGGTCAGATATGGAACAACCCAAATCTCAGGAAACCAAAATAAATGAAAATAAACAAAGAGTGGGCGATACCAAGGAAACCCCAAAACATGGCCGGGAGTTTTGGATTAGCTGGGTACAGTAATCGGATTTTTCCACTAAACAGCAACGATATTCAAAGGATTTTCCGTTAAATATGAATAGTAATCGGTTTGTACCTCAAAAATTCAATATATATATAAGCAGGAGAGGACCATCAAAAGTCGCGCTACCAAGTTTCCATGGAAATCAATGTCAATAAAAGAAAAGAGAAGGGTATGGAGAATTTCAAGAACAATAATATTGCAATGGATGAAAACAACCTGACAAATTACGAGTGTGGAGGCGAAATTGTAGACTGCAGTGGCACCGCTTGAAACTTTGAAGAGGCCGCTTCAACTTCGCCAGTGTCATTAGTCCATCAGAGGTCCATCAGAGGAGGAAAAACAGGAAAGGAGAAGAGAGAGAAGAAGAGAGCAGAAGGGAAAATAATGGGGAAGCGAAGCTGACGGAAAGAGAAGTGAGCACGCACCCGCAAAGGTATGCCCTTCATACATTTGGCTGCAGCGTGTGCTCACTCTCTTCTGTCACTCTCCTGCCCTTTTGCTCTCTCTCTCCCTCCATCTCCTTCCATTTCCATCATCATTCATTCCTTCACCCAACAATTTCCCTTAACTCGTCAGATCTATGACCTCAAAACCCACCCATTTATGGAATCCACAAACCCACCAAAGAAACAACCATTTTATCCCTCCACATGAAATTATTTCCTTTTTCAGACATTTCATCGAACACCCTCTGTGCATCCTTCCATATCCAAGTAAAAGAACAAATTCTTTCCATTCTGAACGGCAGCAGAAACCAACAATGAGAAAGCGAAATAGGGTTTTGCTATTACAATCCATAGATATATACCCATTTCACACGCCATCAAAAGTAAAACCAATTCTGACATCTTAACCACTTTTCTTTCTCTGTTCTGAAATACGCGTCTGGGATAGCCACCAATGAGAGAAGCCCTCCACCACCACCGTCGGTGAAGATAGAGGGAGAAAGGAAGAATGGCGCTAGGGACAGTATAATGAAAAATGTACAGAGCAAAATTTACGAGCGAACGGAGAAGGAAAGGACGAAAAGGAAGAGGACGCGACAGTCCATCGAGTGGGCTTGTGGGACCGTCTTTCTCAGCTTGGGATTGGCTGTGATTAACGTGTATGTGGTCCACGTGGACCACTCAGGGCCCGCCAATTCACTTCATGCCCTAAACTTAATGCTTTCCCGCTTTTATCCCACTTTTTAGTGGCTAAATTTCATATATTTGTTTCTTAATTTTTTTTATTTGGTAAATTAATTTTATTAGTGAATATTGGCTCTCAACCACCAAACAAATAATTATTCCAACCAAAATACGCTCTGAGGTAACAAAAATAATAAACTTTACTGGTATAAGTGGTAACATCAATTATGTCTTCGAACCACGTCCTATTCAAAATGTCCCGTTCTGATGCCATTTCTAAGACCTAAAGCCAAGGATATTAGAATTTGGATTTAGCTATCATTCCGCTACAATGTGCCCATTTAACTTTTATGTTCCTAAGATCGCGGTAGAAGATGAATGTGCCTTTTGTTGGTATAGACAATAATTTCATTTTTTTCTTTTATTACTTGGGATTGAACGAAACCGAACCTCAAATATTTTGGTTGATAATACATTTTTTACATCAATTGATTTACATAGGGATGTTGGAACGACGATTTTGAATTAACGATGATCCATTACGAATAATAATTTTGAGTATGGGACACAATGACATTTAAATTTGAAAAGACAAGACCATGTCTAATCCTAATTAACTAGTTTAGAGTTTATGTGTCTCCCCAACTTAGCTTTCTTTGCCACTAAGTCACCATCATTAGTCATTCCTAATATAAGTTACTCTTTTTCTAATCAGTGATTAATTCAGAGCTAATCTCACTCTAATCAATTAATTACGAAGGTACTTTTCTATTTAAGCTTAAATTGAAAAAGGAAAAAAAAAAAAAAACAATTTCAATTTTTAATTACTTGCCTAATAAATTTTTAAATATTTAATAAGTTTCTTTTTATTACTAACTTATAAATCTAATTTTTTTAATTTTTTTTAAAAATATTTTTTTTTTGATTGAAGATTGCTGGAAAGGAGTCCGGGTTGACTAATTTAAGGTATGATCATGGGTTTATAAATAAATAAATAAATAATCTCAATTGATACGAGACATTTTGGGAAGCTTAAAGCAAGACCACGAGAGTTTATATAGAGTGGACAATATCATACCATTGTAGAGAGTTGTGATTCCTAACATATTTAATCTCTTAATCATTAGAACTATAGATATAAAAATGTTAAAAATATATATATTTTTGTTTATTCTATGATTTAAAATTAGTTTAATATTTAATTTTATAATTGAAATTGATTATGGTTATTAAAAAGTATGTTGGATAAATATTTTAAATATGAAAAAAATGATTTTAATTTAAATTCCTATATATATTTTTTGAAAGGTGATTTGTTATGCATGAAAATTATAGGAAATATTTAAATGCTGTATATTTTCCCGTAATTGTTTTTTATATTATTTTTCCTGAAGGATTTAAATAATAAGATTCATGGAGTCCAATTTGGTTGGGCCCAAATCTGAAGGCCCGAAGCTACTGACTGAAATTGGTTGGAACGACGAAAAACCCCGCCAACTGCGAAGGAACCCAAACAATGGAGGGCTCAGATGAAGTTCATAGCGACGTTCTAGCGGAATCTAGACAAGCTTGCTACAAGGTTCTCTCTCTCTCAATCACTTATTCTATAAGGTTTATGTTTGATAATAATGTTTGAGTGTTAATGTGGCAATTTGATGCATCTGAACAAGGCTCGCGATAGTTTTTATGCATGTGTGGAGAAGGAATCGGACAAAAAATCCACTGAAATAGCTTCTGTTGGCCTAATTTACCCTGCCGAGTGTAAAATTTTGAGGGCCGAATTTGTCAAGCTTTGCAGGTTTCTTGGGTAAATGTCATTGTCTGATCACTTGAGATTTCAATAAGGCGTTGGTTCTTAGAATTTATGGTCTAGTAGGTTTTGATTTGGTAGGTGAAGCATTTTGATTGGAAGTTTTGTCAGAACAGTAGGGTTCAAAGACTCCTAGATGACAAATATTCAAGGAGAGGTCCCTTGATGCTCCCGCAACCTAATACTTTTAAGACTACCGATTAAACTAACATCATCCCCCGGTGGAACAACTTTGAGCGGTCAGAGTCTCATCACTATCGTTATTTTGGGCTTCTTCTTTTTATTTTCTGTATATAGATGATTGTGGCAATAGATTTAGTAATGATATCAATCTTCTTTCCAACTTACAAAGGCCTATTCCCTCCCTTTTATGCATATAATAAAATACCATATTTCTTACTTCTAATATGTGAGATCCCACGTTGGTTGGAAAGGAGAGCGAAATATTTTTTTTACAAGAGTGTAGAAACCTCTCCCTAGAAGACGCGTTTTAAAAACTTTGAAGAGAACCCCGAAAGGAAAAACCCAAAGATTACAATATCTGCTAGCGGTGGGCTTAGGCTGTTACAGAAACATTATTTATAATGGTGTGGAAATCTTTCCCTAGAATATGTGTTTTAAAAACCTTGAGGGGAAGCTAAAATGGGAAAGCCCATAGAGGAGAATATCTATTAGCAATGGGCCTTGGTGTTGTTACCTAATGAGCACGACCATGATGTACCAACTATACAAGGCACTGAAAACTTGTCGGTCTGTTATCTAATTAAAGTTCACTTACTCTCACTGCTCCTCATATATCAGTCATGGTCTTGGTAGTTGATTCACACTATATGGATGCTTCAATAGTTTGTAGAAACACTGCTTCGTTTGTCTTCCATATTGAATTCTTGACTGCATAGCTTCTATAGTATGGGAAGGTTAGCTCATAACGAATGTTCTTGCTTGGCTTATGATACGAGAATTGCTTCAGTTGCCTGTATAGAAATGACCTTTCAATAACAATTTGAATATGGAGAAATGTGAAGTGCATGGGGAATATGCATAAGGTCAATTTAGAAGGAAGTTGGTTTTAGCCTTTTGGAAAATATATTCAACTCAATTAAGTGATATCTCTTAGACTTGGAATCCTGAGCATGGATCATCCATCCTCAATGGACACATTAGCTGGTTTTGCTTTTAGATGATTGGCATTTGACATGTGGCTCTAGAACCCTTTTCAGCCATAAATCGCTCCTTAAGACCCTTCGAAAAATTCTCCAATCCTCGATCAAAGAGGAATCCATGCTTGTTTCCTCACCATTTCTTTACTAAGATTTTCACTTTTCTTAAAGAAACATTTAAAATTTTATCCATATTCCGAAAACAAAAATAAGTTCTCTGAAACTAAGAACAAATCAAATGTTTATCAAACGAAACATAAATTATTGTGTAAAACTGGTGAAGAAATCCAAAATCATTTCATAATTGCTTGCCTCCTATGGCTAAGGCCAAGCAATTTTTTCCCTGAAAATTTCATAAACTGATTGTCATACCAAAATCGGGGGGTCGTAAGAAGTGAAAGTCTATATTTGTTCTTCAGTAACCTTGTGAGAATACAGCATCTGAATTTTGATTTGATGAGGGCAGAATGTTATCTTGCTACAATTTTCAAAATACTCCATTGCGTAAGATATTGCTTCTAGGAAAGAATGCTCCTTATTGTACTGATTGGCTGTGTTGGGAGTAAGACTGCCGATTGAAACAGGTTTTTCGGATGTGGTAAGAGCCCTTGTTAAGGAACGCCGTTTGATTAAGGAGTTCCACTCTTTTATCCTTGTGGAAAAATTAGGATAATACTTCATGATAAAATGCATTTAGGATTAGAATTTTTCCTTTGGAAAGGAGTTCAAGGAAGTGATGAGATGTACTTTAGATACCATAATATGATCGAGATCATTTAATAGGCTAGTCAAAAACTCGACGCCCTTGAGAAATTCTAGGATTATTTACATTCAATGCCCTGATCAGATTTTTAACCTATGAATCTCGAAGAGATCCATCAAGTTGACTAACAAATATATCCATTATATCGATGGACATTCTCGATATAGAGATACAAGGATTGATCTTTCATTTTTCTGCTTCATAATCTACTGCTTCATTGACCTTTTGTGGCTATGGGCTGGTCTTTCATTTTGAAAGAATTTAGTCTTTCAATCTGCCTTCCCAGACACGTTGCTGGAAGTTTTGTTGGGGACAAATTTTAGGGGCAAGGCAAAGATTCTTTGGTTCGAGTTTTCCGAAATATTGTAAAGAAATAGACTCTTTTCGTCCCGGCCTGCTGTTCTGTGAAACGACCCTTTGGGCAATTTGGAAAGAGTCCCTTAGAGAGTCATTGAGAATGGTTCAAGTTTGGAAGATTCTTCTGTTTATACTATACACAACACTTGGGTTCTTGATGGAGTTCATGTCACAAAGAATTTTGGTGTACCTACAGACTTTCTATGGTTATTAGAAATTAGAATGCCCCGTTTTATGTTAATCTCTTCCGTTATGTCTATAATATATAACTATATCTCATTGTATCTCTGTATTTGTTGGGTTGTTGACAATATCAGAGAGACTCCATTGCAGACTGTCATAGATGGCAGAGGATTATAAAATTCTAGAATATGATGGGAAAGAAGTTAGTTCGGAGTTGAAATTCGTTCCACCTGACCACTAAAAGAAAATTATCTTTTCCATTTTCCTCCCCAACTCGACAAGAGTTCTCATTCCAATTCGACCATCGAACTCGAATTTCCTAGCAAGTAATTCACACCCAAACCTCTCACCTATAACAAAATCTCTCATATCTCGATGTAAGATCCCACGTCGGTTGAGAGAAGAACGAAACATTTTTTATAAGGGTGTAGAAACCTCTCCTTAGCATACGCGTTTTAAAAACCTTTAGGAGAAGCTCGAAAAGGAAAGTCTAAATAAGACGCTAGCGGTGGACTTGAGCCGTTACATATTAGGTTAAACTACAAGTCGGGTCCTCGAACATTTAGAGTTGTGTTTATTTGATCTCTACACTCTAAAAAGTGTCTAATAGGTCTCCGAACTTTAAGATCTCACATATATATCAAATCATAGGAATAAACTTTTAACTTCTAAACTATAGCGACTAAATTCTAACTTTGAATCCATCAGAGTTCGGTTTTCCTATTTCCTATGGACACGCATCTATGAAGACTTCGACTTCTTTTCATCAATCATGTGGAAATAATACTTTAAAAAAATAGTAGAAATAATGAATGAAACGATGAAAATGAGTCTGAAATTAACCCCACCATTGAATAAAATTTCTTCCGTATTTGACTTTAAGAGTAGTGGACTACATGTCGGTCGTCGTGGGCCCATTAGTCGCTTCCCACTCCTTTTCAAGGGTGTTCAATAAATACGACCAAACATTAAAAATGAAAAAAGAAAAAACACCAAAAAAACAAAGGAGAAATCAAAGTCAAAATTGAAGATATTATTTGTTAATTCATCCAACCCTAATTTCTTATTGGCCCTTTCTTCACTTCATGCTTTGTTTGAGATAAACATTGGATATTCTCATTTATTTCTTCTAGAAAGAGTCCGACAGCAAACTACTCCATTTCAATTCCCCATATTTTTTCTGCTAATTTAATGCTTTTCTAACCCTAAAGTTTGCCTTTCTCTTATGCTTTAGAATAATCCCCTTTTTCATCCATCTCATATACTCCATCATTCATGTTGGAATTAAAAGGAATGAAATTATAGTATATTTGAATTAGATTAAGCTCGGTGTATGCTTGTAATAATTTTCAATCTTGGTTTTCACATTAGGATTTAGGATTGTAGCTGCTGCTCTCATCTAATGAAAATAACTGACTTTGTTTTCTTCGAATTTATTCTCTCATAGACTTGAATGAAAACGCGTCAATGTAAAGTAAATTTACAGGTAGAGAAGTGTACGAGTAAGACAAAATTTTCCTACCATTTGCTTTTGTAGGGAGTAGGGACATCATTTCATCCATTATAAGATTAATTTCATCAACATTTTATTGACTTATAATGTATATGTTATTTTATCTGTTGCTATATATATATTTGAAGGGTGAATACCTTTATCATTTAGAAAAGGAAAGTTAGAAGCGTAAGGAACATAAACACTTGATACCATAATGGTTAGTGAAAGATTACCTACCACTTTCAAATTCTATTGCCTAACCAACCCTTCAATATTTAGCTTATTTAGATTTAGGGTTTAGGGTTTATCTTGTTTTTTTTTTTTTTTTTTTTTAAA